TTACACCGACCAAGCTAATTTGTAATAACATTTGAGATATTCTTTTATTAATGATCATATAATAATTCAAATATTTTATGTAATCAATACAGTATACCTCTTTAAAACTAAATACCTATGTACCATCAATAACAGAAATAATAGATTTAATTATTTGACGCTAGTGAAGGTAAGAGTCAGATAAAAACAAGTGTATATTATTTGGAGATAGATTTTATATAACCTCCAACTTCAAAACTCAAATAACATCCTTAATATTTTTCAGGTGCTTGAATGGACTGAAAATGTCTATTCATACAAATAAAGTAGCAAGACTAACTTTAGGTACATTTCAAAATCATCCATGAATTTTTGTGGTTAATTAATTCAATATTTGTCAAACGTGTATTATTTAGTAAGTAAAAAATAATTCCTAGTGAATATTTATCTTATAAAATAAAATATGACTGTATTCTAGCCTGTGGAATCTATTTGAACAAATTTTATTTCTTATATCTGGTTCGTCGAATTTTGAAATTGTTTTAAAGTTAATCAGAAAAATCATTAAACATCAATTTGTAAATGTTTTTTTAAAACTTAATAAAAACAATTGCATTTTTAACCCACAAAATCGGTGTGATTTATATTATAGATCAAATAGGTATATCCGCAAATATAGTAAATAAAATCAACAAAAATTGCAGCAGTGTTTCTATCAAAACAACGGCTACTTAGAACAATATTTGTTCTGCACAAAGCTGTTTCCGTTCGTATATACAGATGGAAGCTATACAATGAAATATAAAATAACGATACACGACAACTATTATAAAATAATAATAGACATCTGGTAAAATAATTGTGTAACGTCGATATTTTCAACAAATATTAAAAAAATAAATGGGTGTTTGTTATATAATACAATGGTGAAAACAAACAAACTAGCTTACAGAGAATTTTGAATAGATACATCCAAATATAGGTCACACAACTCATTTATTCAAACACCTCTTTAAATATTTGATGGATGATACTTTAGTTAGGAAAATTTGAAGTGCTCTTGTTGTGCTCGTGTTAGGCTCTATGGGGGTGAACCAGGTAACAGAACCCCTGGGCCCGCCCTGATGTTCATTAAGGTTCTTGTTACTTCTATTGATTATATCAAAAAAAAAACAGGGTTAAAAGGAACTATGACG